GAAGAGAGGACGCAGGAGGCTCACGCAAAACACGACACGCTGTGGAACAGAGGAAGGACGAAGTGCCATAACGTGAGTGCCTGGAACAGCAGGAGGACGAGGACGAGCGACACGTCGAGCACGAACAGGTGTGGAAGCACGAGTCTCAGGCTCACGAAGCTCAGTCAGGGACTCAGTCACCTTAGTGTGAGGAGCAGGAGCAGGTAGCGGGGAGCCAGGCAGTAGCTGTGGCTGAGACTGGTCTGGCAGTGGACACAGGAGAGGTGGAGTGAGGCCAGTGGAAGACGGGAGACTAAGAACCTGGTGAAGGGCCGAGTCAGGCGGCGGCAGGGACGACTGCGGCTGCGGGTAGAAAAACGGTCGGGTCGGCGCAGTACCCGTACCGTCAGCAGCTCCAGCACCTCCAGCTCCAGCACCTCCAATAGCACCTCCAGCACCTCCAGCACCAGCAGCACCACTAGTAGCACCACCAACTCCAGCAGCTCCAACACCTCTAGTACGAGCACCTCCAAGACCAGCAGCACCACCACCTCTAGGACGAGCACCTCCAGGACCAGCAGCTCCAGTGCCTCCGGCACCAGCAGCTCCAGCACCTCCAGCTCCAGCAGAACCTCCAGTAGCACCTCCAGGACCTGCAGCTCCAGCACCTCCAGCACCAGTAGCTCCAGCACCTGCAGCACCTCCAGTAGTACCTCCAGCACCAGCACCTCCAGCACTTGCAGTACCTCCAGCACCTCCAGCACCAGCAGCTCCAGCGTCTAGGTAACTCCAAGCTCCAGCACCAGAGCGGGCTCGCCGAACGACCCACTCACGAAGCTGCTGCGGCGAGAGTGTCTTGAGTCGAGTAGGGGGCTGCTGTTGTCCAACACCGGGACCTGCAGCAGGAGCACCCACGGCCCCACTACCACTCGGACTCGCAGCACCCCCAGTCTCAGCACCCCCAGGACCAGCACCCCCTGCGTCCGCACCCCCAGTGTCACCACCCCCAGCAGCACCAGTGTCCACAGCTACAGGCTGCAGAGGTGGTGAAGACGGTCGAGGCGGAAAACCAGGAGGGGTCTCCAAGCGTGGAGAGCGACGAGTGGCCGCCGTGTCGCCAGCGGCAAGGTCACCCCCCTCAGCCGGGCCAGTGGAGTCAGAAGAGATCTCCAAAGGCTCAACCAAGGGGGGTGGGTCTACCTGAGACACACCTGAGGGAGCAGGACCCTGTGGGGGGAGGGGGTCTACCGGGGGAGGAACTGGTACCAGGAAGAGAGGCTCTAGGGGGACCGGGTGGGACGCGTGCGGGTGGAGCCTGTAGAAACAGATTGACTCGTCAAAGGTGACGTCCTGGGAGGAGAACACGCGACGCGAGCGAGGGTAGTAAGACTGCCACGGCGGGGCGTCGGTGGGGAAGCCCAGGAAGGCGCAGCGGAGAGTGCGAGGAGAGAGCTTGCTCGTAGTGGTATCGCGAACAAGGGAGAGCGCGCCCCAGACCCGAAACGCCGACGCATCGCCAACCTTTCCTGTCCAACGGAGTGTGGGCGAGGTCTCTGGCAAAGAGACACGGGGCCAGATGTTGAGCTGATGCGCGGCGTATCGGACCGCAAACGGCCACAGAAAATGGGGAGCAGCCGCATGGATCATGGAGGTACGAGCAACCTCCATGATCAGGCCAATGCGACGCTCAGCAATCCCATTTTGCTGCGGAGAGGCTAGAAGCGTGAACGACTGGATGATGCCCTCGTCTCGACAGAACCCCGCAAGGAGGGCGGAAGAGAACTCACCACCCCTGTCAGAGTGCAGACGCAGGACTGGAAGGTCCCGCCGAAATCGCTCGCGCAGCTGGTGACGAGTAGCGCGGATCCAGGGGATCAAAACACCACTGACGTCCGCCTTGCTGCGCAAGGGGAAGACCGTGGTGTAGCGCGTGTAGTCGTCAACGACCAGCAGGAAGTAGTGCTCCTGGTCCGTCCCACGGACGGGGGCCGGGCCCCACACGTCCATGTGGAGAGTCTGCATAGGAGGAAACGAGGAGGAGTGAGGAGCAGCGCGCTGCCGCCCCTCGACGCAGGGAAGGCACGTCGTGGCAGGCGAGCGTGGGAGGGGGGGCAGGGACCTGGGAAGGCCAGAGACAAGGAGACGCGAGTGCATGCTACGAAGGCGCGGCAGAGAGGGGTGACCAAGTCGGTGGTGCCAGAGGAGAGTCTGGTGGGAGAGTACCCGACACGAGCAAGACGCAGCGAACTGACCAGACGCAGACACCTGACCTGACGCAGCCACCTGTGCAGACGCAGTGGTGAGGGTGTATAGACTGGACCCAGGCTGACGAGTGAACGTAGCAAGGTGACGGCTAGTCCGGGAGCACGTACAGATTGCCACACGCTGTCCTCCAGGAGTAAAGGTGTCAACCCATACATCCTGAAGGACGGCGTTGCTCACCAAGTTCGTCGAGAAGGAGGGGAGTTGGAGACCTGGAAGTGAGCCAGAAGGGACTGCCGGACACGGGAGGACAGTGGAGGCTCGTGCGACAACTGGGCCCCCAGAGGGGTCAGCCAGTGAGACCGGGACCGGTGCAGCGAGCGTTGTGACTATGGTGCAGTCTCGAAAAAGCAATGAGACGCACCCGAGTCAAGTGTAAAGGTGTGCAAGGCCTCAGCTGAGGCAGCAGACTCACTAGCACCTGTGACAGCAGACGCACTAGCACCTAGAGCGGCTGCAGACTCACTAGCACCTGGGGAAGGGGCAGCGATACCATCAGCGCAGGGCACACACGAGTAACAGGTACCCTCATCACTAATTACATCAACATACTTAGCATAGAATGACTGGTTGATCTTAACAAAATCAAGAGCAAACACATCTACTCCCTTCGCCATCAGCTGCGCCCAGTTGGGCACATCCTGCTCAACACCATACTCGGCCACCCAGGCATCCTCGAGACGGCCGAAGCAGCGATACTCCGTGTGCCCATTCTTCCCGCAGGTCTCACCCTTGTGGAGGCCCGTGCGCGTGACATAGGCGCATCGAGCAGTGCCCCCAGGGGAACCACGCTGGACAACCCACTCACGAAGCTGCTGAGGGGTGGGGTTGTCCAGGAGGCGTGGTGGCTGCGGACCACTCCCATAGCCTCCGCCGCCATGAGCTGAACACCCATAGCCTCCACCCCTGCCAGCTTCACCCCGACTGCCTCCACCACCCCCGCCGCCTCCACCACCCCCGCCACCCCCACCGCCTCCACTGCCTCCACCTCTGGTGCCACCTCCACCGCCTCCACCCCCGCCACCACCACCCCCGCCACCACCACCGCTAGTGCCACCCCCACCACCCTTACCCCCCTTGCCCTTGCTGCTGCGGCGCTTCCCACTAGGAGCAGACGCAACGCCGACTTCCTCAGCACCAAGGAGGTCGACAGCAGCAGCAGTAGCAACAGAGGGTATGAGAGGGGAGGGAGCACACCCTTAAAAAAAGGGGGAGCGGGGCGTGCCACGAGATGCAGCGACAGTGACATCAGCCTCAAGAAGGGACTTCTCCAGCGAGGCAAGCGTGAGCTCAGTGGGGTCGAGGACGAGGAAGTGGTCCCTAATAGTGCGGAGGGAGTCAGGGAGGCGTGTGACGAGGAAGTACATGGTGATATAAAGCGGGGGGGGGGTTCTCAGCGAGAAAGGTCGGCTTGAGGGCAGCGCGGTAGTGAGTCTCACTAGAGCGAAGGTGGGTCATGAGATCAGCAACAGTGGGGAAATCGGCGAGCTCAGGAAAGAGGTACGGCAACATGAGACGGCCTAGGGCGGCAGTAGCGAGCGCAGCGCGACGCGTGCGGGCATCGTGCAGGCAGCGCGACATGTGCGGGCAGCGTGCAGGCAGCGCGACACGTGCGGGCTGGCGCTCTTGCAGCAGGCAGCGCGCTAGTAGCAGGCAGCGCGCTAGCAGCAGGCAGCGCGCTAGGGCAGGCAGTGCGCGTGGCAGCAGGGCAGCGCGACACTGTAGGGGTAGGGCAAGGCAACGCAAGGGCGCTCCGGGCAGGGTCTAGCTGATCGATTTGGTGGGCCCTAAGAAAATCTAACCGTGTTCCTGCTCTGAAACCATGTCGAGAGAACTGTTGCAGGAATGATGGACTAGGTGGCATGCATGAGTACAAGTACCTAACCCTAAAGTGTTGTACCCCTTAGGGTAAGCCCCACTACAGCCTAGAGATAACAAATGTAATTTGTCATGTACTGCTTGTGCCTTTATAACTCTGCATGTGAACTGGCCTTGTGGCCGCTTGCTTGTGCTCAGAATGCGTGGTGATCTTGAGATCCACCCTGAGCTTTGCTTTGCTTTGTTCTCTTGCTAGACTGGTCTTGTGACCGTTGGTTGTTCTTTCTATCCCCACTTTGCCTATGGGGGTGTGTCAATTTATATTTGTATGTCTGCAGGCTGTAGTGTGGTAGCTTACATAGAGTACAACCCTTTTAGGGTTTCCCTACTTGTACTTGTCATTCCTGCTACTGAAGTCATTCCTGCATGCTATTCTCACAAGTGATGCCAATTGCTAAAAAAAAAAACGAGATTTCTAAAAACTTATTTTGCGAAAAGTATGCCGCCACACTTCATCCTAGAGTCACTTCATCCTAGAGTTTAGTCTACTCATCTATCCCTTAGTGGAATTGGGCCAAAAGGCTTATTTTGAGTGTAGAGCCATAAGGGCCTGAAAGTGAAGTGTACATAGTCGGTGCGTGAGATTTTGACAAAGCCAATTCCCACCTTTATCCGTTCTTGCTCCGAGTCCCTATAACGCAGCCAGATCCACAATCCCAGCACACGGGCCTAGTGCCTCCTAGGTTTTGCGTCCCTTCCTAGCACGCGTTATTGCGAATTGCCAATTTCTGGCGATAAGAATTCCGATCGCTGGAGAATTGAGGCTTTGAGCTTCAGCGAAAACTGTTGTTTTTGTAATTGAGGACCGAAATTAATTCGGTAACTTTTGAGTCGACTCAAAACTTTTTCTGTGAGTCAGGACCGAAAGTAAGTCGCTAGCAATGCGCGATAGGAGCGATAGCGATTCCGGGAGGGAGGAAGGTGTCAGGAGGAGGCGCGGCCGCAAAGAGCGGAACGACAGCCCCGATTCTATCGATGGTGACTCTAGCGGGAGTGACGAGGACGCGCGGGATGTAGGCCGCGGAAAGGGGAAAGCGCGGCACGTGCGGGGCGTGGGGGATGAGCGGAAGGGCCGCGGAGGTCCTAAGAGTCCGCTGGTGGACGACGGGGGGAGGCGGGGAGTGGGGAAGCAGGGAGGGGGAGGCGGAGATGGGGAGGCGGGGATTGCGCGCAGCAGGGGGAGGCATGATTCGGACGACGAGAGCGACGAGGAGAGGGGCGGTGGCGATGGCGGAAGAGGGGGCGGAAGGGGTGGCGGGAGGGATGGGGGGAAGGGAGGAAAGGGGAAGACGCGGGGGGGTTTTGAAGAGGAAGAGGAGGAGCGTGGCGAAACGAAGAAGATCGTAGGAGGACGCAAGGGGGAGAGGGAGCGTGAGATGGAAGAGGAGGAGGAGGGGGGTGAGCGGTGGGAGATGGGTAGGGGGAGGGAGGGGGCGAGAGTTGGGCGGAAGGAGAAGCGAGGTGAGGAGGGGAGGCGCGGGGGTCGCGCGGAGAGCGAGGAGCGGGAGGAGCGTGATAAGGTTGAGGGGAGGAGGGAGATTGAGGGAGAGAGGAGGGAGGGAGATAAGGAGAGGGCGAGGGGTGGCCTGCGGGAGAGAGAGGGCGATGGGAGGAGGGGCGGGGAGAGCGAGAGGGGACGAGCAAAGGATGACGTGGATGGGAGGCGACGGGAGAGAGAGGATGATGGTGGCAGGGATAGGCGAAGGGATGGCGAGACGGAGAGGGAGAGGGAGCGAGACGGCAGGAGGGGGAGGGGCAGGTCAGGGCGGCACAGGCGGGGAGGGTCCGATTCGGATGGGAGTGAGAGCAGCGGCGAGTGGGAGAGGGAGCGAGAGAGGGGTCGGGGTAGGGGAAGGGATGATAGGCACAGGAGGTATGAGGAAGGGAGGCGAGAGGAAGGACGGCGAGAGAGGGGGAGAGGCGAGTGGGAGGGCGAGGAGAGGCGATTCGAGGGCAGGGAGGGACGGGGGGCTCCCGTGCGCGCACCCATTCCTGATGCTGCTGCCGCTGCTGGCGGAGCAGCAGGCCTGGCAACAGGTCCGGCAGCAGGCAAGGCAGCAGCAGCGCGAGACACAGGGCGCACGGGAGGCGCGTACATCCCGCCTTTCAAGCTGGCGCGCATGCTGCAGGAGGTGAACGACCGCAGCAGCGCGGAGTACCAGCGCCTCACGTGGGACGCGCTGCGCAAGTCCATCAATGGGCTGGTCAACAAAGTCAACGCGTCCAACATCAAGAACATCATTCCCGAGCTCTTTGCGGAGAACCTGGTGCGCGGCAGGGGGCTGCTGTGCCGCGCGTGCATCAAGTCGCAGATGGCCAGTCCGACGTTCACGCACGTGTTTGCAGCGCTGGTGGCGGTGGTGAATACCAAGTTCCCCGAGTTGGGCGAGCTGCTGCTCAAGAGGATTATATTGCAGTTTCGAAGGGCGTTCAGACGCAATGATAAGGTGAGAGAAGAGGGTGTATGCCAGGAATCTGCTGGGGATTTGTTGCTCTGGCACTCGTGGCGCCAGCGGTGGTGAACACAAGGTTTTGAGCTGGGCGAGCTGCTGCTGAGGAGGATCAGTCTGCAGTTCAGGAGGGCGTTCCGACGCAATGATAAGGTGAGAGAGGAGGGGGAAAAGGCGGTACAAAATCCTCCTCCTGTTGGCCGTTGGGCGTCTGTCGCTCGAGTGCTGGTTGCGCCGGTGGCCTGGTAACTAGTTTGCAGCAGGCAAGTGGCATTTCTCCAAACCCCCATTCTCACCTCTCACTCGCTCGTCAACCAGCAGGTGGCGCAAGAGATTGTTGCGCTCCACCTGCCGCCGTCCCATGCCTCCTAGCATGTCTCTATCATCCCTGTCCCCCACCGTCCTACCTACCCACCTCCCCTGCATCCGGTGCTGGTGGTGGCGTGTCGCCTCTGGCCCACCTCTGCAACCAGCAGGTGGCACACAAGATAGTCGCGCTCGAGCTGCCTCCCTCCCTCGTGTCTCAGCACCTCCCACCCCACCCACCCCTCCCTCCCCCTTCCTGCTGCAGCCGGTGCTGGTGGCGGCGTGTCGCTTCCTCGCGCACCTCTGCAACCAGCAGGTGGCTCACGAGATCGTTGCACTCGACCTGCCTCTCTTACCCACCTTTCTTAGCATATCTCCATCATTCCCTCCCCGCCCCTCCCCTCCTCCTTCCCCCCTCTTGCAGCCGGTGCTGGTGGCGGCATGTCGCTTCCTCGCGCACCTCTGCAACCAGCAGGTGGCTCACGAGATCGTGGCGCTCGAGCTGCTCACACTGCTGCTGGAGACGCCAACGGATGACAGCGTGGAGGTGAGGCCTGGGGGGGGTGGTATCTGGTGAGCTCTATGCCTGGTGAAGGAGGATATAGGCGCTTGAGCTGCTCACACTGTTGCAGGAGACCCGCACGGATGACAGTGTCGAAGGTGAGGGCTGGGAGAGGCGAGGGCTGGGGGGGGCGAGGGCTGGGGGAGGTGAGGGCTGGGGGAGGCGAGGGCTGGGGGAGGCGAGGCGTGGGGGGTGAGGTGGTATCTGGTGAGCATGGAAAGGTGTATCGTGCTGCCCGAGCTGCTCACCCTGCTCACCCTGCAAGCACACATGTGCCCGTTGCCCACCAGGTGGCAGTGAGCCTTGTGAAGGGGTGTTGCCCACCAGGTGGCAGTGAGCCTTGTGAAGGGGTGTTGCCCACCAGGTGGCAGTGAGCCTTGTGAAGGGGTGTTGCCCACCAGGTGGCAGTGAGCCTTGTGAAGGGGTGTGGCGCCATGCTGCACGACCTCCGTCTCTCTCCCCCTCTCCCATCTCTTCCACACCCGATCACACACACGTCTACCCTTTCCACCCCCGACCACTTCCAACCACTCTCAACCACTCCCAACCAGGTGGCAGTGAGCTTCGTGAAGGAGTGTGGCGCCATGCTGCAGGACCTCTCGCCCCAGGGCCTTCACAGTGAGTGCTCTTGCCTTAGGCTTGGGCTTAGGCTGGGGTGAACCCAGCGAGTTCCGGCCAGCCTTCACAGTGAGTGCTCTCGCCTTAGGCTTGAGATTAATCTTGGGAGAGCCCAGTGACATGGCCTCCACAGCGAGTGCCAAGTTGCTTGGTATGTGTGTGTTTTTTCAGTTGCTCTCCGTCCTCGTGCCGTTTCAGCCCTCCCATCCCATCAATCTTCTGCCCAGCATACATTTGCCACCACCCGCTTCCCCCCTTCAATCAACCACCTTTTGTGTTGAATTTTACGCGCCTGCGTCCACATACGCTGCACAAGAGCCATGGAACTGATCATCTGCGCCCCAATGCTCCTGTGCTGTGCTGTGCTGTGTATGTGGATGCGAACTGATAATGCATGCTCCCTGCCAACTGAGTGGTGCGCACACTGATGCATCGCTGCACTAATTTCTGGCAGCAAGTTTCACAGTCTTGATCCTATTGCTTAAGTGTTTACTACAGGTTTGCAGCTACTCCGCGATGAGTCTTGATCCTTGGGCTACTGAATGCATGCTCCCTGCCGACTGAGTGGTGCACACACTGATGCATCGCTGCACGTCCTGCCTCCCTTTCTGTTTTTCCTTTCAACCCCCCACCCCCAGGCATATTCGAGCGGTTCCGTGGCATCCTGCACGAGGGGGAGATCGACAAGCGCGTGCAGTTCACCATCGAGGGGCTCTTTGCCATCCGCAAGGCCAAGTTCGAGGTGCGTGGTTGGTGAGGTGAGCGGGCATGGGGAGTGTATGGGTGGTGGCACGGGTGATGCTGTGTGTGCAGTTCACCATCGAGGGGCTCTTCGCGATTCGCAAGGCCAAGTTCGAGGTGCGTGCCCGTGATGTGGGGGAGTACATAATACATATGGGCAGTACACGTGCAAGTGTGCATGCGTGTGTGTGTCTGTGCGAGTTCAGCTCACCATCGAAGGTCTCTTTGCCATCCGCAAGGCCAAGTTCGAGGTGCGTGTGATGGGGTGAGGATCGATCACCCATGGTGCTGTTGCGTGTGATGGGGTGAGGATCAATCACCCATGGTGCTGTTGCGGATGTAGCTAAAGAGGTGCCTTAACCACAACTCGCCTCCATTCCAACCATCTCCCTCTCTCAGGGCTTGCCCGCAGTGCTGCCCTGCCCAGGTGGGGGAGGGGGATCAGATCTTGCACGAGCTCTCAACATCACACGCGCACCCTGCTGGCCTCATGCTCACGTCTTCACACCCCTCCCAATGCTCGTCTCTCCCCCTCCCAGGGCTTCCCAGCGCGGCTCCCCGAGCTTGACCTGATAGAGGAGGAGGGTCGGATCACCACGAGCTCTCAATCTCTCCCTCTGCTGACTTCATGCACACGTCTTCCCGTCCCTCCCTCCCATGTCTCTTACCCTCTCCTACGGCTTCCCAGCCGTGCAGCGTGGGATCGATCTGGAGGAGGAGGAGGGGGATCAGATTGGACCACCCACAAGCTGTTACTCACTCACTGACTTCATTGGCCTCATGCACACCTCCCCCCGCCCCTCCTCCTCCCCGTGTCTCCTGCCCTCTCTCAGGGCTTCCCAGCAGTGCTGCCCGAGCTGGATCTGGAGGAGGAGGATCAAATCACGCACGAGCTGGCAATCACTCGACCCACCTGGCTTCATGCTCACCTCGTATCGTGATTCCCCACCCACCGTGTTCCGTCCCCCCTTTTTTCAGGGCTTCCCAGCAGTGCTCCCCGAGCTGGATCTGGTGGAGGAGGAGGATCAGATCACGCACGAGCTGTCGCTGGAGGAGCCTTATGACCCCGAGACTTCACTTGGTGAGCTTATAACGAGGATGTGTTGCGTTGAAAGGGTAGATCTGGTGGAGGAGGAGGATCAGATCACCCACGAGCTCTCCCTTGAGGAGCCGTATGACCCTGAGACTTCTCTGGTTGAGCAGCGAGCTTATAACGAGGATGGATTTTGTGGGCAAGGGTGGTCTGTGTCTCAGTGTCGGGCCCTCTTTCGTTCTCCTCGTCCCTCTTTATTTCTCTGTTACTATTTTTGCTATCCTCTTTTGTACTCCATGCATTCTTCCCCGCTCCCTCCTCGCCATTTCGTGCTCCTTCCCTTGCACGTGATACGTACTTTCCTCCCCTCTCCTTCCCCCGACTTTGCTTGGGGCGTGTTGCCTTGAGTTCAGGTTTGCTGTTGTTCGAACCTCATGGGGAAACCACTGTCTTGAATGTCGCCATCAGAACCCACCTGCCTCGTTGCTTCACTGCCTCCACTTCCCTGCCGCGTCCTCCCTTTCATCAAACCCTCCCTCCTTCCACTCCCTCCTTGGCCAGATGTGTTCAAGTTCGACCCCGACTACCTGGCCAACGAGCAGCGCTACAAGGAGATCAAAGCGGAGATCCTGGGAGACGAGGAGGAGGAAGAGGACGACAAGGGCGAGAAGGGGGACGACGACGAGGAGGAGGAGGATGAGGAGAGCAGTGAGGAGGAGGAGGACGAGGAGGAGCAGGCGAAGCAGCAGGAGATTCGCGACGAGACGGAGACCAACCTGGTGAATCTGCGGCGCACCATCTATCTGACCATCATGGCGTCCGTCAACTTTGAGGAGGCGGGCCACAAGCTGATGAAAGTCAACCTGCAGCCGGGGCAGGAGGTGAGGGGTGGGGTGGGGGGAGGGGGGGGGGTGGGAGGAGGGATGGGAGGGGAGGGATTGAGGGGCTTGACCAGTGGGGCAGAGTGCATGGAAAGTGGGGGTTTAGAGTGAGGGAATATCGTCAGGCAGGCAGCAGAAGGGGGTGAACCTGCGGCGCACCATCTACCTGACCATCATGGCGTCCGTCAACTTTGAGGAGGCGGGCCACAAGCTGATGAAGGTCAACCTGCAGCCGGGGCAGGAGGTGAGGGGTGGGGTGGGGGGAGGGGGGGTGGGAGGAGGGATGGGAGGGGAGGGGTTGAGGGGCTTGAGCAGTGGGGCAGAGTGCATGGAAAGTGGGGGTTTAGAGTGAGGGAATATCGTCAGGCAGGCAGCAGAAGGGGGTGAACCTGCGGCGCACCATCTACCTGACCATCATGGCGTCCGTCAACTTTGAGGAGGCGGGGCACAAGCTGATGAAAGTCAACCTGCAGCCGGGGCAGGAGATGAGGGGGGGGTGGGGAGGGGGTTATGGTCTTGGGCGGGGGCAGTGTGCATGGAGCGATGGGGTTTGAGCTTATGACGATCAACCTGCATGGGACCTTCCGTAGAATCTTTCATCATCCCCTCCCCCCCCCTCACACCCCTCCCTTCCCTCCACACACGACCCTCTCCCTACCCCGTCCACTCATGCAGTTAAAGCTGTGTGAAATGTTGCTCGCCTGCTGCTCCTTTTATGATTCTCACCCTCCCTCCCCCACATCCCTCCCTCCCCCTCTTCCGCTCTCTCCCCCCAAACTCCCCCCCCCCTTCCCCTTCATGCAGATGGAGCTGTGTGAAATGCTGCTTGCCTGCTGTTACTTTCATGACCCTGACCGCCCCCCCTCCCCCTCACACCTCCCCCTCCGCTCCTTTCCCCTCCTCCCCCCTCCTTCCTCCCCCCTCCCTCCACTCCCCTCCCTCCTCCCCCCTCCCTCCTCCCCTCTCCCTCCTCCCCCCTCCCTCCTTCCCCTCCCCCCCCCACCCTGCGTGCAGATGGAGCTGTGTGAGATGCTGCTAGCCTGCTGCTCCCAGGAGCGCACCTACCTGCGCTACTATGGGCTGCTGGGCCAGCGCTTCTGGTGGGTGGGGTGGTGGTGGGTGTGGTGTGGTTGCTCTAGGTGATGGCAATGCAAGATGGTGGTATTGACGCACCTACCTGCGCTACTACGGGCTGCTGGGCCAGCGCTTCTGGTGGGTGGAGTGCGGTACTAGGAGATGATGGGGGGTGTGGTGGTATGGTAGTGTCAGGTGAACTCAATGCAAGATGGTGGTATTGGTATTGGGTGCACCTACCTCCGCTACTAGGTTCTCCTGGGGCAGCGGTTCTGGTGGGTGGGGTGCGGTACTACCTCCACTACGTTGTACTCCTGGGGCAGTGGGTCTGGTGGGTGGTTGCATTGCAGCTGGAAACGAGGGGAGGGGGGGGGGGGGAGTGTGGATGGAGGAGGTGACTATAAATAATTCATGATCATGTGGGGTGCGATGGTGATAGGGAGCGTAGTTGTGCTACTATTGAATGCTGGGGCACCTATTATAGTGGTGGGAGTGGAACTGGTGGCATTGTTGTGTGAAGTTCGCATTCCCTCAGCTATTTCTCTGTCTCTCAATTTCTCGCTTTCCCTCTCCCCACTCCTCCCTTCCACCACAGCATGCTGAACCGCGCCTACCAAGAATGCTTCGTGAAGCAGTACAGCATGATTCACCGCCTTCAACCACTATCCACCCCTCCCCACTCCCCCCCCCTTCCCCAGCATGCTGAACCGCGCCTACCAGGAGTGCTTCGAGCAGTGCTTCGTGAAGCAGTACAGCATGATTCACCGCCTCGAGACCAACAAGCTGCGCAACGTCGCCAAGCTCTTTGCTCACTTCCTCGCCACAGACGCCATGCCCTGGGCGCTGCTCTCCTACATTCGCCTCACAGAGGAAGACACGTCCTCTTCCTCGCGTATCTTCATCAAAATCATGTTCCAGGTGAGCTTGAGTTCAGCCTAACTTCATGCTCAGCGAACAGTGCCACAATGGGCTCTTTGCGCACTTCCTCGCCACCGACGCCATGCCGTGGGCGCTGCTCTCCTACATACGACTGACTGAAGAAGACACCTCTTCCTCCTCGCGTATCTTTATCAAGATCATGTTCCAGGTGCGCTTCAGAGAAGAGCAGGACAGGCGCTGAGGTGAGCATCCTGGTGCTGCTCTCCTCCTCACGTATTTTCATCAAGATCATGTTCCAGGTGCGCGCTGATTCAGCCTGACACACACACTCACAGGGCAGTGGGCTCTTCGCCTGCTTCCTCACCACTGACGCCATGCCCTGGGCACTGCTCTGGGTATATCTCGATGTTCGTATTCGCCTCACTGAGGATGACACTTCCTCCTCGCCGTCTCGCATCTGCATCAAAACCATGTTCCAGGTGAGCGTTGAATTCAGCCTGACACGCACTCACCTATTTGAGCAGGAAACGTCGGAGCAGCTTGGGGAGGGGGGTGGGGGGGTGGGGGGGGGGGCAAAATGAATGAGAAGCTGAGCAGAACCCACTTCCCCTCCCCACCCCCATGTGCGTCCTTGTTTCCCCACTTCCCCTCCCCACCCCCACTTCTCCTCCATTTTCAAAACCCACCTCCGAGCAGGAGATGTCGGAGCAGCTGGGACTGCACAAGATGAATGAGGGGCTCAGCGACCATTCATGTGCCTCTCTGTGTAACCAAGTTCCCCCTAATGCCCCACCTCCATTCCCCCTCTGTCCCATTACCAACCCCCCCACCCCGTACCTTCGCCCACCCCACCTTCCCCCCTTCACCCGAGCAAGAGATGTCGGAGCAGCTGGGGCTGTGCAAGATGAACGAGAGGCTCAGCGACCCGACGAATCATGTGCCTCCCTGTTTTCGCACGTCCACCCAACCCCCCACACCCATTCCCTCACTTTCCGTTACTCCCCCCCTCTCTCCCATCCTCCCTTCTCCTCCCCTCTCCTCCTCCCCCCCCCCCCCCCCCCACCCCCCCTCCCTCTCCCCCCCTCTCCTCCTTTCCGCTTTCCCTCCTCCTCACCCGTAACAGGAGATGTCGGAGCAGCTGGGGCTGCGCAAGATGAACGAGAGGCTCAGCGACCCGACCATTTCCTGTGCCTCCCTGTTTCACCCATGTTTCCCCAACCTGCCACCCTCGCGCGTTCCCACTCCTTCAATACCACGCCCCCGCCTTCCTCCTTCCCCTTCTCCTCCCATGAGCAGGAGATGTCGGAGCAGCTTGGGCTGCGCAAGATGAACGAGAGGCTCAGCGACCCGACCATGGGGGCGGCATTCGACGGCATTTTCCCAAAAGACACGCCCAAGAACACGCGCTTCGCTATTAACTTCTTCACATCTATCGGTCTGGGAGGGCTGACAGACAACCTGAGGGAACACCTGAAGAACATGCCAAAGCTTATCATGCAGCAACAGAAGCCTGTTCAGGTGTCCGAGAGTGAGAGTGAGAGCGAGAGTGATAGCGAGAGTGATAGTGAGAGTGAGAGTGATAGTGGGTCGGACAGCGGGAGTGACAGTGGGAGCGAGAGTGAGAGCGAGAGCAGTGAGAGTGAGAGTAGTGAGAGTGAGGATAGCCGAGACAAGAAGAGGAGGCGCAAGAAGTGAGAATTAACGTGTGGCTGTGGCTGACTTGGTTGTTGGGTGTACTGTACATGCACTAGTACACTTCTACTTTGTGTTATGTTACTGAAATACAATGCTTGTGCTTGTACAATTTGCTAGTGGTGTAGCTTTGGGGCTTTGATTGTCAAAACGGAATTCAGGCCCTTGTTTGAAGCACCCGCTTGCAGTTATCTCATGAAGGTGCATACCTTGGTTACTATTTTGAGCACCTGAAACTGTTTAACTGGGTGTGTAGTGAAAGTAAGTTGCAATTGATTTTAGGAACGCATTGAATACCAGCTATCTTCATAGCCAATTCTAGGGAAAATATGCCACACGTAATCAACAAGGGTCTCGATAATTTGTTTGGTAAATAAATAACGGGTACGGTCACTGGAAAGGGTGTTCTCACGTGTTTGATAAAACGTTTCACGGAATCAGTCACAATCAACTGGGAAAAAATAACGCGAATGGTCACAGATGAAACTCCCGCCCAAAAAAGATAATACCCAAAACGAACCTGGATGCATTATTCGGATGAATCAACCCTGAACACAATTCGCCAGGTGTTTAGGGTTGATCCGTTCCCAAACCGCATTCTATTCCGATTGGGTTTAGTTTTTCCAGAAGTTAGCTGATTGGTTGGACGCAAGCGGGGAATATTGTAGAGTTTCAAGATTTTTTGGCGGGAGTTACATGTGTGACCATTCGCGTGATTTTTTACCTGTTGTTAGTGACTGAATCCGTGACCCCACTTACCAGACCCGTCAGGAAACCCGATACAGTGACCGTACACGTTTTTTTTGGTACCATTCACGTTATCGGGTCCCATGTTCGTTACGTGTGGCATATTTTCCCCCAATTTTACCACGACGATTTGCGACAGTAATTCGAGTCGCCATAGATATTTCCATCAGTCGCCAGCCTCGTTTGTCAACCGTCCAGTCAACTCCACGTCGCACGTGTAGACCTCAGGCATCACATAGTCGATAGTGTTACGAGCTAACACACACTCCTGAGGCGACTCGAGATTATATTTCAAAATCTACCGGTCAGAGCTCCCTGCGCCGCGGCACGATTCGATAGACACTTAGGCAGCAATTGGCATCGGGTGGCGACGCGGCGAATTCTGAATGCGCGCGGAGATGTGTGCAGGTCGGTACGGGCCATGCGGGGTTAATTCAACTGAAGCCTAGCTTGCGGGGAGCGTAGCGCGGCACTTCTTAAGCGTGGTACGAGCTGCAGTAGACCGTCACGAGATTGTTTTTCACGTCTCATCATGGCTTAGTACCATTTTAGGGTTCGTCTGCCGTGGTTCTGTCATTGACCACGTTAGGGCTCGTCAGTCGGCTGTAGTAGCACCCGTTAGGGTTTTCATCCGCCAGCCGTGGCCTGCGGAGAGTCTCTCCTTCCAGCCCTCGCGATTGCGGTTTGTGGACTGTGTAGATTGGCTATGGCCGTGTGATAGTGCCGACAGGGCGTCGTGCCACGTGTCGATCAGTTATTGTAGTGTGAAACACACCCCGTACCCCCTCTCATTTGTCTAATTATTTCCCCTACACCCCACCTCCTCCTTCCCCCCTCCGTACCCACCTTCTTCCCCTGTTCCCCTCAGGCTAGAAGGCATTCATGCTTATAAGATGTAGACAAGTAAGGAGAACACAACAGCTGTCTGTTTAGAGCCCATGGACCAATCACAGTCGCCACAGCAGCATGTACGGACAGCCTCTGCCGCCCACCAGATGGCCGCCCAGCAGTCGTTACCTCCACAGTCTGCCGCCCAGCAACCGCTGCCGCCTCAGTCTGCCGCCCAGCAACCTCTGCCGCCCCAGTCGGCCGCCCAGCAACTGTTTGACCCACGAGTTTGGCCCGGCTTTGAGCGGTTCAACCAGGTGGGGCGGGTGGCTGGTGCGGTGGGATGGGGTGGGTGGCGTGGAAAGGGCGGGATGTGGTTGGGGTGGCAGTGGAGTGGCGTGGGGTGGGTTGGGGTGTGATTGGGCTAGGACAGATTTTTTCAATGCTTTCTAGGCGCGGGAAGAGGCGAGGCAGGGGGGAGGGGGGGGGGGGTGGGGTGGGGGGTATATCATGAAGGAATCAGGATGCTCGGACGAGTGAGGCCGGGGACAAGCGGATCAAGCAGGCGACTCTTGAAACGTCGCCACCCGTTCTGCCATATGTGTGTTCATGCCCTTTGATTTATCGAACCAAGAGACATCGGGGGTCGGTCTGCTATTCGCGCTCATGACTGACGCGTCAGCACTTCCCTCTGGGTCCGATTTTTGAGGCTGTTAGATAGTCCGCTTTTGAGTCGACTCAAAAGCAGACGCATGTTGTGTCCACTAGAAGGTTGTAGGGTGCCTTGGACGATCCATTGGCACACATGTGCTCATCTCCCCCCTTCCCCCACTCCTGCCGGACCAGAGTCGGCTGCTGATTCACGAGAACAGGGCGAACCACGAGGCACGCCTGTTACATTGGCTTCTGTATCGAGAGACGACTGCGCTCATACCTCCCCTTCCGCTTCCCGCTCCCCCCTCCCCCACGAACAGGTGCAAGGCCTGCTGGACCAGAACCGGCTGCTGATTCACGAGATCAAGACGAACCACGAGGCCCGGCTGCCGGATGGGCTCATGCGCAACGTGACCCTTATCAGAGAGCTCAACTCGAATGTCACCAAGGTGGGGATGGATCTGTTACTTACCATACCATGATAATGGTACGTTTATGTGTTAAGGTATATTAACATTTGAGTATTCCGGATGGGCTCATGCGCAACGTGACGCTCATCAGAGAGCTCAACTCCAATGTCACCAAGGTGAGCGCATTGTGACCTTGCTGCCATAACTCGTCTCCCTCACGAGGCGAGGCTGCCGAATGGGCTCATGCGCAATGTGACCCTCATAAGACAACTCAACTCCAACGTCACCAAGGTGAGCCCATTGTGACATTCTCTACGGTGATTCGTGTCTCTCAAGCTTTGAGACGTCTCAAACGACATTGTGACCTTTGTTGCCGTAACTCATCTCCCGCGCGCACGGCTGCCGAATGGGCTCATGCGCAATGTGACCCCCATAAGGCAGCTCAACTCCAATGTCACCAAGGTAGACATGTTACTTACTTTACCATATTACCTATTTTACCATGGTATAAATGTGAGTAAGTGTGGATTGAACGGTATCAAAATCTGAAAATGCCAGATGGGCTCATGCGCAACGTCACCCTCATCAGAGAGCTCAACCCGAATGTCACCAAGGTGGGGATTTGGTGCAAAGGTAGAGATTTTTCGGCCCCCAAGGTAGAAGTGGGTGTATGTGTTGAAGTGGGTGTATGTGTGACGTGTAACACGACCCGGCTGCCAGATGGGCTCATGCGCAACTTCAGTTGAGATGCAGTAGCTCGCCGTGATCTGCCGGGACCTCCGGCAGATCTACAGTAGCTCGCAACTTCAGTTGAGATGACCCTCATCAGGCATCAATGTCACCAGAGTAGGGATTGAACTGGTAACCCGCATTGAACTCTGCCTCGTGTGTAAGGTATAGTTTGATTGAGTAGGAACTCTTACGGCACGCCCTGATTGGTTGCTAGGGTTTAGTGAGCGCTCAGTCGCAAATTCCTTCCCTTTGTGCTCGTCCCTTGCCGCGCTTCCATCTCTCTCCCCTCCGCAATGCACCATAGGCTGTACGCTGAGATATTTCGCACAGTGTAGTCTCTTTTGAGACTCCAATACAAATATGAATACACTGTGCGAAATATTTGTCACTTTTGTATAGGCTGGCTGATATCTGAGTCTCTTGTCACAAGCGACTGCAGTATCGGCCGGGACCTCCGGCAGATCTACAGTAGCTCGCAGTGAGTGCGTTTTCGAAATGTCTTTCCTTCACACTCTGCCCCCCTCCCCCCATATTCGTCCTGCAGGTGGTGGATATTCGTCCTGCAGGTGGTGGATATTCGTCCTCCCCCCATATATGCTGACATCTCTCACTCATTCCCGCGCACCTTTGGCATATCCACTGCTGCTCCTCATGAGTGCTTTCTCACATATCACTTCCCTTCTCGCTCCACCTGCTGCTCTGCCTTCTCCCTCCGTGCCCCGTCTGCAGGTGGTAGATCTCTACGCTCACATCTCCCGCACATTCATGCGCACCTCTGGCAGCTCTGCTGTGCGCTCACTTACCCATCCGTCCCCCTCCCCCTCCTCCGTCTCTCCCGCTCTGCCTTCCCCCCTCTCTTGTGCACCCCTTGCAGGTGGTCGATCTCTATGCTGACATCCCCCGCACATTCGTGCGCACCTTTGGCAGCTCAGCGGCGTCGCGTTATGTGCGCTCACTTACAGATCCGTTCCCCCTTCCCCGTGTTGTCCCTCCCACCCACCCACTCTGCCTTCTCCGTCCCGTGTGTGTGCACCCCCCACAGGTGGCCGATCTCTACGCTCACATCTCCAGCACCTTCGTGCGCACCTTTGGCAGCGTAACTGCTCCTCATGTGCTCTCACTTACAGCTTCGTTCCCCCTTTCCCCCCTCTGTCCTACCGCTCTGATTCTTCGCCCCCCACCTTCCCCCCCTCCCTACTCCCCTCCTCCCTCCCCCCCCCCCCCCCCCCTCCCCCGTGCCTCTTCTGCAGGTCGTAGACCTGTACGCTGACATCTCCCGCACCTTCGTGCGCACCTTTGGCAGCTCTGCAGCTGCCCGCGCCTCTCCTGGCGCTGCTGGGGGGGATGCTGCTGCTGCCGGGGCTGTGGGGGGCGACAGTGACGGCTAGGTGGAGGGGTGGATGCGTGTGGTTTGTGGCACTGCCCCTGCTGACGCTGCTGCTGATGCAGATGCCGCTGCTGCCAGTGGGGCTGTGGGTGCCGACAGTGACGGCTAGGTGGAGGGTTAGACGTGCAAGTAGCTGTGGTCGTGTCTCGCTCTTGGACCTTTGGCAGCTCTGCTGCAGCCCACCCCCCTGCTGGCGCTGCTGGGGGGGCTGCAGGTGCCGACAGATGGAGGGGTAGACGTGCATGTGATGGTGTCACTGCAGCCTGCCCCCCTGCTGATGATGCGGCTGCTGGGGGGGATGCTGCTGCTGGGATTGATGCTGCTGCTGGGGGGACGCAGGCGCTGACAGTGACAGCTAGGCGGAGGGGTAGACGTGTGGTGATGTGACGGCTAGTTGTCCCATTCCTCACGACCTTCTGCAGCTCCACTGCAGTCCGTCCCTCTGCTGCCGCTGCTGCTGCTGCTGCTGTTGATGCTGGAGGGGCTGCAGGCGGCAGCAGTGACGTGAGACGGCTAGCAGGACCTGTAGACGTGCTCGCGACTAGGTCATGCCTCGGCCTTGCTTTTATTGGCTCAACCACGGCCCACTATTGAAGTCACATTTGAGGATCCTCTAACAAGGTTCAACCACGACCCTCTCCCCCCTTGCTGCTGCTGTTGGAGCCAAATACGGCTACATGTGGCTGTGACTCTCTGTCTCAGGACCTTTATGAGCTCTGCCGCAACCTGCCAATCTGCCGGCTAGTTGCAGGGGTGGACGTGCATGTGACCTTTGGTAGCTCTACCGGAGCCCGCCCCCTGCTGCTGCTGGGGCGGATGCTGCTGCTGCTGCTGCTGCTGCTGCTGCTGGGGGAGTGCAGGTTCCAATAGTGACGGCTAGTTGCAGGGGAGATGCGCATGTAGCTGTGCCTCTCGGACGTACGGCATCTCAGGACCTTTAGGAGCTCTGCTGCAGCCTGCTCCTCTGGTGCTGATGTGCCTGGCGTTGCTGTTAAAGTGCGCGGCTCCCATTGGCGAGGGGATGAGGTGCTGCTGCTAGATTGAGCAGTTGCCGTAGGTGAGGGGGTGAGATGGTGCTGTGTTGACCGGATGGCGAACAGCATTGGTTGGTTGGAGTCGCTGGTTGACCTGGGGCGTGGAGAAGCGGCACTGACTGACCTGTACCGTCCGTAACGCATGGCGCAGCACAGCTTGTAAACTTGGAATCATGTACTGTAATTCTGGGTGTAGCAGTTTTCAGGCAGAATGCAGTTACCTGGTGTTTTTGTGAGCTATGTGATTGATTTAAGGGGAGGGCAGGTGAGAAATAAGCACCCGCTTGGCCATGAGTGCGTGAGGTGCATGTTGTATGGTCTTTCTTTTTGTTCCTGTAGTTAGCAAGTACATTTATCCATGCAATCTGTGCTGATACACTGGAAGTACATATTCCGTTTTTGTTGGACGAATACATACTGTATTGAACCCTCTTATAGAACCATCGCTTGTACACCAAACACGTCACTTGGAAATGCCGTACACAGAATTTTGTGTCGGGCCAGACCCGAAACCCCGTACCCTCTCCCCTCCTTCCTTATCCTCACTCTTCTTCCCTCCATTTCCGAAACAGCGCTTTATCATAACGTGCCGCTGCTCGAAGCGCGCCTCGGATTCCGTCGCGCGGTGACACGTGCCGTTGCCTCTCCGCCGTGTTCGTCGTTCACTTACCGCAATATTTATCTCGGCTGGTCGCATTAGTAGTCTTAGGCTACCGCAAGTCGACTATGGTGTGGTTTCAGTGCGAGGACTGCGGCGAGACGCTTAAGAAGCCCAAGCTCAACGCGCACTTCATGCGATGCTCCGCTTACAAGGTCAGCGACGCGCCGTGTAAGATTTATAGCAACCGTCATGTTTTACGGAGTAACAGGTTGTCCTTGAATCGCGTACTTGGCGTGCTCTGGCTCGGTTTCAGTACGACAACGGCCCTTGTCGCCCGCTTCCTCGTACAGTGTTAGTTTTCGGCTCTCCGAATCTCGCGTCGACACTCTCGTCGCCGTTTCTTTTGTAATTACCCCTTCTTCGTCTTCCCCCCCTTCCCTCTCCCTCCATCCCAACCCACGCACCCCCAACCAACCCCCTTCCTCCTCCCTCCCCTCTTTCCCCATTCCCCATCCCCCCCTCCCCCCCCCCCCCTTCCCCTCCTCCCCTGCTATCAGCTCGCGTGCATTGATTGCGGCGTGACGTTTGATCGGCGCTCGGTACAGTCACACACGACGTGCATGACCGAAATGGTACAGTAATCACGCCATTATAGTCACATACGAGAAAACTCCGCCTTTTTTTTGTTTTTGTGATTAAAACCAGTAACTGAAAACCAGTAACTGAAAACCAGTAACTGAAATGGTACAGTACGTACTGCTCACTCTTTCCCTTCCATCCCCCCCCTCGTTCGAACTCGCCGCCAAACCCAATCCCCCATCCTCCCCTTCCTCCCTCTCTCGTCCACACTCGCCCCGCTCTCACACTGCTAACGCAGCGAACCCCAAGGGTGGGGATGGGGGGAGTGGGGGAGGCCGCTGGCAGGGGGGTGGGGAGGGGCTGCTACGGCAGCATGATGTATCCGTGCCCTAAACCCCACTCTCTCCTTCCCCCGCTTCCCTCTCTCCCCCCCTCTACCCCTCTTCCCCCACCAGGAGAAGTTCGGGCCGAAGGGGGCTAACGCTGCGAACCCCGGTGCAGGGGGGAGGCCGCCAGCAGGGGGAAAGGGGAAGGGCGGGGCGGGAGCAGCGGAGGGGGGTGATGAATTTGACTACCACATGGGTCTGTCGACTAGACCCCCCTGGTATTGCAGGTGTGTGTGTATGGTGCCTTGTAGTTTGGGGAGGGGGTGGGAGGAATGGGTGGGGTGGAGTAGCAGGAAGAGAGGCAGGAAGGGCGGCAGGGCAGGCAGCAGCAGGGGCAGCAGGAGGGGGGCGATGGGTTTGAGTATCACATGGGGCTGTCGACTGCCCCCCCTGGTATTGCAGGTACGTGTGCTGCTTTCAATGCCCCATGGGCGTGCATGTATGGTGCTACCTGCAGGGCAGCAGGGCATATCACATGGCATGCATGTATGGTGCTACCTACAGGGCATATCGCATGGCATGCATGGCAGCTAGTGCTCTCTTTAGGGGAGGGGGAAGGGGAGAACTGGGGAACCAGGAGAGATGGGGCTGTTGACCCGTCCCCCCTGGTATTGCAGGTATGCGTGGTGGCCTTAATACCCCATGGGCGTGCATGTATGGTGCTACCTCTAGGGCACATACCATGCATGGCGGCTAGTGCTCTCTTTAGGGGAGGGGGAAGGGGGGAAGTGGGGGAACTAGGAGGGATCCAACTAGTCGAATCGCAATACAAGGGGGGTCTAGCTAGACAGCGGGAGGTTGGAGACTCAGCGGGGAAGAAGCACCAGCCATGGGGGGGAAGTCACCCTTCTCTTCCCGTTCCCTGTTTCCCTGCTCCCCTCGTCCTGCTCCCTCATTCCTATGCTTTTCCCCTGCTCTCCTCTTTCCGTGCAGCCTTTGCAAGGTGAGCGCCACAAGCAAGGCGACTCTAGAGAGCCACTTAGAGGGGCGGAAGGACCACAGGGAGGGAACGAGACCCCAGGAAGGACCGCAGGGAAAGAGACCCCCCTCTTCCCTTCCCCAGTTCCCCTGCGTCCTCTGCTCATCCCCCCACTTCCCCCGTTACTTGCAGTCTGTGCATAGTGAGCGCCACGAGCAAGGGGCACTGGAGAATCACACTGAGAGAAAGTGAGGGGAGCGACCAGGGTCGCTCTGGAGGCGACTTGAGGTGACTAACAGGAACTCACGTGTGTGTAAGCGTACCTCTCTGTTCTCCCCCTCTTTCTGTGCAGCCTGCGCTAGGTGAGCGCTACTGGCAAGGAGACACTGAAGAGCTTTTTGGAGGGTAGGATGCACCACGGCATGTTCACCCCTCGCTTCCCTTCCTTCCCTTCCTCCTGCGCCCCCCGTCCCCGCTCTTTCCCCCTCCCCCTTTTCTGTGCAGTCTTTGCAAGGTGAACGCTACTAGCAAGGAGACTTTGGAGAGCCACTCAGAGGGGAAGAAGCACCGCGGGAAAGTGAGGGGTGCGACCAGGGCTGCTGTGGAGGCGACTAAGGGACAGGATGATGCCTCTAGGGCCGCTGAAGAGGCTGGAAACGGTGCAGTAGCTGACAGTGCGGTGCAGAGTGGTGCGGATGGTGTTGCCAGTGGGAAGGCGAATGGGGCTCCTGCTGTTGCAGCGAATGGGGCAGCGACAGGTGGACAAGAGAATGGGCAGGAGGAGGCGAAGAGTGGTGGGGAGGAGGAGGGAGAGGGAGGAGCAGAGGTGCAGGGAGGGGAGGAGGGGAAAAAGGGAAAGAAGAAGGGAGAGAAGGAAGAGAAGGGAACAAAGAGGAAAAAACAGACAGAAGGGGGAGACGAGGAGGAAACTGCCAGGAAGGAGGAAGAGCAGGAAGCAGTAGAGGATAAGAGCAAGACAAAGAAGATGAAGAAGAAGAAAGAGAAAGGCGAGGCTGATGCAGCAGAGCCTCCTGAAGGAGGTGCTGGGATCCCGTGGAAGAAGCTCATTCGGCAGCAGCTCAAGGCGGTGAGTGCAGTGTGGTGTGCAGTTGTGAAGAAGGGTGCTGAGGTGCAGAGAGGCAGAGGAGAAAGGCGCGGCTGGTGCGGAGACTTCTGAGGGAGCTGCGGTGGTGCCGTGGAGGAAGCTCATTTGGCAGAAGCTCAAGGAGTGCACTGTGGTGTGGTGCATGCACCCTGTTGCCAAAACGTTGGTGCGCAGTCATTGGAGGGAGGCATGTGCTGGGATTCTGTGGAGGAAGCTCATCCGGCAGTGGGTGCTGTGTGGAGCGATATGCTGTTACCCGTTGCAAACGGTTAAAAAGGTGCAGAGGTGCAGAGGTGTAATCTGTTTTCTGTATTGCTTTTTTTTCTCTTCAAATAATCAAGGTGTCACGACTTGGGGGTGCGTGCCACGTGTTAACTGGCCGTGACACAACGTGCTACTTCCCCCGTAATCTGCAGAGATGGATATCTGTTTCCTGTAATGCTTTCTTCCCCGATGACCTGCTGTGCTGTGCGTTTTGAGGCGCCTCAAAACTCGCTCGCTCATGCCACGCGGCCTAAACATAATCTGCTAAAATCTCATGCTTTGGTTGTGGTTTTTGTTGTCAAATTTATGTGCTCTTGAACGCCTGTTCTCTCCAACCAGGCACCCAGCCATGAGCTGCCACTCAAGGCACTGAGGAAGCAGGTGCTGGCAGCAGCCAAGGGCGTGCTGGCAGAGCAGAGCTCAAAGGAAAGCGCCAAGGACAGCTGCAAGCAGGGTGCAGGCAAGGGAAGGGGGAGCAGCAGCAAGGAGGAGCTGCTAGCTGCCTTCCAACGCTCTGTGAGCTCACTGCTCTCACGCTCCCTCTCTCCCTCTTGACCTCTCTACACTCACTCTCCCACCCTCTTGACCCCTCCATTCAGTCTCCCCCTCTTGTCCTCCCCACACTCATTCTCCTCCCCTTTTTTACCTCTCCACAATCATTCTCCCTCTCTCGCTTGACCTCTCTCCACTCATTATCCCCCTTCCCCCTCTTGACCTCTTCACACACATGCTTCCATGCTTCCTCTCTCTTGACCTCTTCACGCTCATTCTCCCTCTCTTGGCCTTTCCATATTCAATCTCATCTCTCTTCACCTCTCTGCACTTATTCTCATCTCTCTTCACCTCTCTGCACTTATTCTCTATCTTGCAGCTGGAGAAGTGCAAGGCAGTTATTGTTGAAGATGTTACAGTGAAGCTCAACGTTTAAAACCAGAGTCTCAAGCAGTTTGATTTTTATTTGCGAAACAGTTGAAGCTTAGCTACCCCGTTTGTGTGATCGAAGTGTATGGTTGGTTTGGAAGTATAGTGTGCAACTCACACACCCATTTTCCCCCTGAACTAAACAAATTGCTGGGAATATCGTATGAGGCTTTCGAGTTGGAGTTTCGACATTTAACCTGTTGTTGTGCCTATTTGGTTCATATACAGCCTGCAAATTGTGTTTGCTTCGCACCCCACCCCTCATTTCACCCCTCTTCAAATATTCTGCCTTATCGATCAATCTCAGCCTAGCTTTAATCATCTGCAAAACAGTTGATCCAGTTTGAATATATGTATTGTACCCCGTTGCATTTGGGAGGTGTACTCTTTAGGGGGTGTGGCTTGCATTTGTTTCTAGGAGCAGGCAATTTAGGGGGTGTGTTACTTGCTGCAGGCATTTGCATTTACCGTACCGTCACCCCCCGGATAAGCCCCCATGGGGGGGTATAAGGGCGCGTGTCTTTTGCTGTAGACGTTCAGAATTTTGGCTGAACTTTTGCTGGTTACCCTAATCGCGAATTTCGCAAAACCCGTCGCTTGAACGTCGTGTGTCCAAGTACACTATCGGGGGTGATGAAAGCACGAATCCGAAGTTGAACTTTCAGCAACAAACATGCTGGCACGAAAATGCGAGAGTGTGTCCAACTGACCACTGACAACCACGATGCGAAGTCTGCGACGCTCGCAGCAAGCATGGTGCGCACTAGCAACTTCGTCAGATTGAGTCCCGCTTTCGGGAACGCACACATTGGGATGAACGTGGCACGAAACCGACACCGTGCAGATGTTTTGGCGCGAATGTTCTTTCGGAAATGTGGCACGTGCCCGTCTCGGCTTGTCCATGTCACCGACACCGTGCAGATGTTTTGGCGCGAATGTTCTTGACATCTCGCCAAAAACACAACAGCTTGCCGACGCCAGCGCAAGACTGCTCTAGATAAAAAACCCACTCGTCAACCACTATGCCATATGTTCATACTGCCGCCGTGAATCAGACACAACTTAGCAGCCATGAATCCCGAGTCTAGGGCAGGCGACGGTAACCCAGGCACGTCCTCCAATCCCAACGCCCTGCCTGCTCCGCCTCCGCCTAACTCCTCTCTGAACTCTAGGCCGCCTCCACGACGCGCACGCGCTAACAACACTACCAACAACTCGGGAAGGCGCCTTGAAGTGATCGATCTTGACACGATCATTTCACAGGTGCCAGATCCCTCCCAACCGCTTAATGCGGACGTCGCGTCGCGCCCGTCGCGTCTGCCCGTCCCGTCCGTCGCGTCCCTTCCCATCTCGTCGCGGTCCCTTCACCCCCTTCCCCTCCCCCCCCCCCCCTCCTTCCCCCCCCCCAAATCTGCTGACGGCGTGCTTGCGCCCGCGCCTTGCCTGTCATGTCTACCTGGTCCCGTCCCGTCCGCGCCTGCTGCGCCTGTCGCGCCCGCCGAGTGGCTGCTGCCGCGCCTGCCGCGCCCGCCGTGCCAGCCGCGCCTGCCGTGCTCGCCGCGTCTGTCCCGTCCGCGTCCGTCGCACGTTCGCGCCCTACCCGTTCGCGCCCGTCGTTCCTTGCGCATTGCCCGCCGCATCCGGTGCGCCTTGCCCGTCCAGTTACGCTTTCGCTATGGCGACGCCTAGGGTCCTCCGCTTTGATGCCGAGGGTAGGCCGCTTGAGTTCTCGGTCTGGCTCCTGCGTGCGCGCCGCCTTTTAGAGTCAGGTTCAGGCAGATGAGTCTCTGTGGGCGCACGCTTTCGGCGACCTTCCTAAGCCCGACGACCCTGCACCCTTAGGCGCTGACCCCAGCAGTGCAGACAGAGACTGTTATGCCTGCCAGCGTGCTGACCTGACACTGCGGCCTGCGGCCTGCATCGCCCTCAGCAACCTCCCTGAGCCTTAGGAGGCCCACTTCACTCAGGTTCGCACGGCTAGTGAGTTCCTGACTACAATCAAGGCCCGCTACGCTACTCCCACCACTGTCTCTCTTGGTCGCCTGTTCCTCCTGTTCCTGTTTCCTGACCTCTCCTCATTTGAGCGCTCTGCTGACTTGATCGCTCACCTACGCTCGCTCGATTTTAGCTACCGCGCTGCCTGCACTGACGCGCAGCTTGCACTGCTCCCTCCCCCTATGGCGATTACCATGTATTTCATCGCCACTAGCCTCCCTGACCGTCTTGCCTCGGTTCGTGACGCGCTTCTTCTAAAGCACCCTAGCGAGCTCACTATCGAGGTCCTTGAGTCTGCCTCAAGGACGTCGAGAGGAACCTCCGCTCAATAGCCTCCGCCTCTGGTGCTGTGCCCCCTCCACTGTTTCACAGGTGCACTGTCCCTCAGCTGCCCACCTTTACTGCCTCCCTCGCCACTTCCGCTACTGACGTGACCGCAGCTGCTGTTACGACTTCTTCGCGGTCTAGGGGTAGGAGTGGCAGGAGGGGCGGTCAGGGTGCGGGCGGAGGCGGCGGGGGCGGCGGAGGTGGCGTAGCGAGCAGCGGTGGCGGGATTACAGAGGTTGGAGGAGCGCCTCGTGCAGCGGCTAGTGACTCCCCTACTGCAGCTGGTGGAGGTGACGCTCGGGTTCGTCGGGCACCTGCTGGTCCGCCAGCTGCAGATGCGGAAGTGGCGGCTTGGTACCTGACTCATCGGCAGAAGCAGCCACTCCTCTCGCAGCTGCCACAGCAGCAGCAGAGGCAGCAGCAGGCTCCGGGGCAGGGGTCAGGACCGCGTCAGCTGTCGCGTGGTGCCGTCCACCCTCCCTGCAACTAAATCGTTCAAACAAATGATTGCCGAGGCCTCCTCTGTGGCCGCACCCACCCACCGGGTCAGTGCTTTGCTCAGCTCACTGACACACTTCGTGCGGCCTACGGCGTTGGCGGCCTTGCCCCTTACTGGCTTCCCCATGTTCAAACGTACGACCCCGCTGTGTGGGGCATGTCGGCTTCTCAGATGCTTGATCACTTAGGAACTCCTCATGTTATGTATGCTGTTGTTGACTATAGTGCTTCTGACTCTGTTTACTCGAGTGTTGTTAGCTTAGGTGCTAGTGTTACTGAGGTGCTTGTTGCTAACGTAGGTACTTGTATAGACACTAGTCCAGGAGCTGCTCCGGAGGACACTTCGCTGTCTTTCACTCTGGATTCTGGAGCTTCGCACTGTTTCTTCCGCGACCACACGATGCTTACTCCGCTTCCTGCGCCGGTCTCTGTGGCATTGGGTGATCCTACTTCGGGACCAGACACTGCTAGCTACACTACTACGCTTCTGTGTCCAGCAGTTCCCTCGGGTTTCCTGATGGGCTTCCACGTCCCCTCGTTCTCCAGGAACTTGGTGGGTGTGAGGCCGCTCGTGAGTAGTCACGTGGGTGTGTGGATTGACCCTTCTGACGAGACTGCGGTTTGTGTCAACGGAGACACGTACGCGCCTCTGGCCACCTTTACCGCTGAGCCGGGCTCTGGTCTCTACACACTTCACACTGGCCTCTGAGGGCAGCAGCAGCAGCGGCGGCCTCCTACCCCTTTCACTGCCCCCCGTCAGGTCCCCGCGTCTCACCAGGTTGCCACCTCCCACCAGGTAGCTGTGTCTCGTCTGGTTCCAGCGTCTGGTCCGGTTGCTGCGTCTTGCTCGTGTCGGTCGCTTGCCCACCCCACCATTCTGTGGCACCACCCGCCTTGGGCACCCTTCCATTCCTCGCCTGCGCACTATGTCTAGTCAGCGTCTTGTCTTAGGCCGAGGGTCGGCTGCGCGCCACCCCTCACTCCTCCTCCCTTCGTCCGGCCACCGAGCCCTTTGAGACTCTCCACTACGTCTGGGGCCCCGCCTCGCCCTGGCCCTGAGCGAGAGAGTTTCTTGCTGGTGGTGGTTGACAACTACTCTTGCTACACCACAGTGTTCCCCCTGGCGAAGAAGTCTGAGGTGACTTCTACGCTGATCCGGTGGTTACTTACCACTGCGGACACTCATGGTCGTCGTGTCAGCTGTCTTCACTCCGATCGCGTGGGTGAGTTTCGCTCCGGCATTCTCGCTGGATTCTGTCGCGAGCAAGGCATCCGTCAGTCGTGGACGCTTCCAGAGTCCCCAAAGCAGGATGGGGTTGCAGAGACTGCATATGCTTGTTCATGGAAATTGCATGCACCTCCATGATCCACGCACGTGCGCCCCATTTTCTGTGGCCCTTCGCGGTTCGGTACGCCGCTCACCAGCTGAACCTCTGGCCACGTGTCTCTCGGCCAGAGGCTTCACCGACCAGTCTTTGGACCGGTTCCTACGGAGATAACTCTGTCAACGGGAGCTAGACTACGGGCTAGGCACGGGGTAGGAATGATCGTAGCGTTCGTTCGTTCCTTAGCCGTTTCCTTGTGCGCACACTATTTGCTAATTCACGGGGAGAATTGGCAAGAGTTCCACTAGGAAAACATGACAACAATAGTTCAGAATGATAGCAACAACATTGGCAACACAGACTACATCAGAGCTAGCTAGGCTGCTGGTCGACTTCCAACGCAGCATGGTCGACCGCGATCCAGCGCACCAGAGCTCGCACCGCTCCAGCGTTGCAGAGTAGCGGCTCGCCAACGTTGCAAGCCCACGG